CGCGTCAATTATGCGGAAGCCATGTCAGTGTTACGGAAGTCGCGTCAATGTTACGGAAGCCATGTCAGTGTTACGGAAGTCGCGTCAATGTTACGTAAGCCATGTCAGTGTTACAGAAGTCGCGTCAATTATGCGGAAGCCATGTCAGTGTTGCGGGAGCCACTTTAGGGTAACGGAAGCTATGTAAATGTTACCAACAAAGCTGTGTAAATCTGCGAACTTTTCCTTTCCATTCTTGTAAATTCCTGCTCTATACCCTCAATATTTGTTTATTCATTACCTCTTGATCACTGCTGCTTTGTCTGGTAACTGATGATGGCTCGATCTTGAACACATAACTGATGATCATCTCCTGGATTGATTCTTGATGGACTAGTGATCGCCATAGTCTCTTAACGGGCTCAGCTGCCTTGCGCGTTGATCTGGAATGCATGACACACAAACAGTTAGCAAAACATATGCAGACACCTCACAAAAGACAGGCAGCTATCAAGAGAATCTCTGAAAGAAAGAAAGACAGACAAACAGACAGACAGACAGACGGACAGAGAACGAGACAGATCTAGCTACCTAAATGGTGTGTTGCTTGGATCAAGTAAAGCTTTATATCGAAGTAGTGCCGGGCCTCCACGAGGAAACGTTTCGCAAGAGATTGGAAACTGAGAGATAAAGTCAATTGGAGGGCCTTGGAACGAGTCAAGCCTCGCCTGGAAGGTCAGGCTCCAACGTTGTAACATCTTGAGAGCTGAGTGAAGTAGGGGCGACAACGATGGCAGATCTAAAAAAAATATTCATTGTCAGTATTCATCATCATCATCTTCATCATCGTCGTCGTCGTCGGTATATATAATACAATATACATGTTTACACATAAAGATAATAAGACATTTTAAAAAAATAGAGAGAGAGGAAAATATATGTGAAATAGCAGAATGAAATAATTAAAAAAAAAATCATCGTCGTCGTCGTCATCAACAGCAGTAGCAGTAGCAGCAGCAGCAGCAGTTGTTGTTGTATACACCGAATCGAAATATGGCGACCAATTTGAATAGTTATTGTCCTGGACTGATTAGCGACCTACTAGCCTCTCATACATATGAAATCACGTGAACACGAGGCTAGTCAGTCGCTAGTCAGTGCAGTGTAGGACGCTTCTCCAAAAAGACTCACCCGTCAATTCAAATCCAATATCTGGCAAGAAGGCCTGGAGATTACTCAAGGCTAGTTTACTGATTGAATAATTGATGAGACTCCACCCGTATGACGTATAATCAACATGGTCATGTGGTTCAATGCTTGTCTTAGCTTTAAACAGTGGGAACCCGTACTCGTCTTCTCCTTCACTCTCATACTCATCTTCATCGTCGGAATCTTCTTCTTCGTCGTCGGAATCATAGTCGTTGCCGAAGCCACTCGTTCTTTGTGGCTGTGGAGAACATTAATCAAAAATACGCAAGATTAATAAGGGTTTTGTGATGGTCTAGAGGCATGAACGAGGAAGAATGAAATGGACGGTGTAAAGCTTCCATGGCAACGAAAGAAGATCCCATAGAAATTGCATGGGTTACCATAGTAATGCTATGGATCTAGGTTGCTATAGTAATGCTAGTTGGGACTTACCGAATGTCAAATGTTTAGGCCTAAGGTGGTTGCTATACCAACAACCATGGTTTCCATAGCACCATGTTTTCCATAGCAACGCGTGTGGTTGTCATGGGAATATTCGTAGCTACCCAGCAACCTAGTTTTATGATCAAAGTTTCTATACAACAATAGAGCAAATACGAGAAGCCTTGCAGTCCAACCCCAGCGGTAACCAAGGAAACCCATATCTACTAAACCCTTACCTTGGCGGTGAAATAGTCCACAAGGGTGATTTTGGGAGGTACATACTGATCGACGTAAACAGGCTTTGGATCAGACGCGCGGGCCTGGGCTAAAGAGTCTGCTCCTTTTCCCAGTAGTTTATAGTTCCACCTCGTTCTAGCTGAGTTCCAGTACTTATTTGATTCTCCTCGGTCTCCTGTGGCTGGGGGAGCTGAAGCCTTGGTTCTACTGGACTCAGTTTGAGCTGATGAACCTAGAAAGACACAATCAAAAAGTTAGATCAAGCCAGAGGTTGTTTCACGATTCGATAAAAATGAGGTTTTATTATAATAAACACGTTACCTCCAGTGGGCATCTCCATGGTGACCTTTACACTACCTCCAAACACCCTCCCCCATATGTCAGACTTAAGCGAGTGTAAAACAAGTCTGTAAAGAAGATTAGGTTGACAAGTTGACCATGCAAACGCCAGAAGACTAAAATAGACAGCAACACAAGCTTCAGCAAGGATTATTCGAAGTCGGGTGCTGTTGTCTCTGTTCTCCGTGGCTAGCAAAGATAATAGAAGACGTACACCAGGCCATTTGGCAGGAGAACTTGTGGGAAGCTCAGATGGAGTGTTCTTGGGGGAACTTGTTGAACGAGGACATTTGCCGTCTAGGGGAAATAAAGTTTGTTGGAGTTAATGAGTTACTCAAGAGTCTCGTGTTAAGCAATAGAGAGGAGAACGCAAAGAATGAGTAGCAGAATTAGCGAAATACCAGACTTACTTTGGCTGTTTTGGTTCATTCCGGTAAGACTTTGGTATATACAGCACGACAAGGTCCTTGTAAGGCTGTTGAGCACAGCCACCATATTTACTGGGTTAACTGTTGATGGTGGTTCCTGTGGAGAAGAATCATGACATTTAAATGGCTTCCTCTCTCAGCCAATCAAAAACGGTGAATCCTAAATCATCCAATGAGAGATGGAAACCATTTCACAGTCACAGAAACAGA